GGGATATAGGTTGGATTGATACAACCTTGGATAGGAGCTTTTAAGCTCTGATACCAGATGATATAAGATTAGAATCCACCAAACTTATGTTCACAATATGATCAATAGTTTAGAAGCTAAGCACGCGGAAGATGGATGATGATAGAGATGAAGATGGAGGTTTTGTTGTTAAATCCACAACAATACACGAACCAGAGTGTTTGAATCTCACAAACAACCTAGAAACGCAATCATATAAGACAATAGAGTCTCACCAAGGGTTTGAAATGACAAGAACACAAAAGACACACTTTTGTAAAACAAAACTTAACATTTTTATTGAATAATTCAAGATGAAGGGTGATTTATAATGAGAAATAAAATGAGCTTATATAGGATCGGCATAGAACATCTATAAGGTCTAAAACAAGAAGCAAATCGTGAATATTAAATCAGAAACTAGCCGTTGGAGAATTAATGCCCAATCGGCCAAATAAGGTAAGTTGGAGGCTCCTTGTATCTTGACAGCCTGGAGAGGAAGTGATGTGACTTTGGAACTTTCTTGATAATGTAGGGAGACTTTAGAACGTGCACAAGTTGATAGAAATATGATTGTTATGGTTTAATGCTCCAAGGCTCCAAATAAGGCAAGTCTGAGATCCTCTGGATTAGAAAATTGATATCTTCCAAAATTCTTTTGGTTTTAGCATGAATCTAATTCTCCGTGGTTCTCTGATGAACCAAGATTATAGAACAAGTCGATTCGTAGCTTATTTCTCTCTGGTTTAGTCGCAATCCTCCAATGAGTGCGCGTAGGTCCAAATCGGGTAAGTTTGAAGTCACCCAACTTGAAAACTTAATAACTCCTTCATGCGAGCTGATATTTGACTGATTCCACTTCGAAAAGTTCACTATCTGACCTGAAAATCTAATCCAAGCAGTTTTATGAACTGAATCGTTTTGGTTGAGCCGGAATTGATCAAACAGTGGCCATAGGTCTGTATCGGCTTCAGCAGCAGGATGGTCTGGAATCACCCGAGTTGTAAATTCAGTTCCGATCGGATCCCAGCTCCTATTGACGAAATTCTTCTTCTCTCTGAATCTCTGATGAGTTAAGATTCTGCAAAAANCTTCCTTGTTGCTTAACTCCTCTTGGTTAGTTCGGCATGCTCCATGAAAGGCACTTATGTCCATGTCGGATCCTATGCAGCTCAAGTGTCTAATAGAGCTCCGGTTCAGCTAATGATTTGATGACCGCATCAAATAGCGTTTATTTAGGTTTCCTGATTATTGGTATTTTTCTGAATTTAAAGTTAACCCAAACATTTTTCTTTGAAAGTTTTTTCTTTTTCATCTTTGTGCATTGTGCTTGTCCTACAACATATATATATTCATTCTATTTTATTCTTTGGTAATTTCATAATTTACAAGTCTCATGCTAACGTCTCTGTTCTTCGATACAATGATATACAACCATGTTGAAATAATCATTGTGTCATCAACTTGAAAATATGTTAATTCCTCCATTAGCAAGATTATACATTTCATCTCATATAAATATAATTGCTCTCCCTTCCACCACTGTTAAAACCATACGTGTAAAAAAAATTCCACATAGCTTCTTTAATAATCAGAATATATTATAAAAGAAGCTTAGGATGATGCAGAAACATTAAAAAAATAAGAGAGAGAACATACTTTCTATCACTCGAGTAAAACCATGATTGTTATTTATAAAATTGGAATTCAAAGTTCTTAAAGCCAAACAAAAAAAAACAAAGTTTAAATTAGTAATGACTTAAATTTATTTTGTAAACGAAAAATCAATTTATTTTCTTCCGTTTAAAAGGGGTGACAATTTCCAAATCGTTTCAGTACCGAACCGATTGTCATCCATGGTTGAGGTTTGAGGAAGTTCTCCGCCGGAATATTGCAAGATTATAGTCATTGGTGCGAGTTCTTGACTCATGGCACTACGCTACTCTGCTATTCTTTCGCTGTTCCTTGCTTGACAAATCACTTGGAACTCTCGTCTAAGATGGTGTTTTGATTTCTTTCTCTTTTGTTGATTTTACTTTCCATTATTTGGTTGAAAAACACGGAAAAAATAGATGGACCGTGATTTGTGCTTAGTTTATTTAATTAATAAAAAGAAACGAAAATCACAACTACTATATGGGAAAAAGTGGTTCTTTATGTAACAGTGTACGAGCTAAATTATTACGAATACCAAAGTCATTTCAACTTGAATCGATCTAGTTAGACAATTTGAGAAGAAGAAATTAATCTCTCCTAAACATATAAAATTCAGATTAAACTGTTACTAAACAAATTATTAACTCGAATATGATAAGAGTAAAATAGAGTGAAACAAAACTTGTTCTTTTACTCACACACATGTAGCAAACAAAACCATACTCATGCCTAATATTTTCAGATACAAGTAAACGATTCTTATTTTTTTGACTAAAAAGAAACCATAGTAAGAGTGGGAAACCCAAATACCGAAGCAGAGCACATCTCTACAAATTCACCTGCATTCCTCAAACATTTCTTTATTCTCTTTCAAAAACCGTTTCGAGCCATCTTGGATAACCTTTGGCCAATTTGAGAAGATAAGATTAATCTCTACTAAACTTATTAGGTTAAACTGTTACTAAACAAAAGTTCAACAAAAGCATGATAAGAGTAAAATAGAGTGAGACAAAAATTGTTCTTTTCCTCACCATAACCATGATATCGTGACAAAAGAAACAAAAAAAACCATGCCTAATATTTTCAAATACAAGTAAACGATTCTTTGTTCTTTGCCTTCTGAAACATTCTTGTCAATCATTTTAAACCCAATTACTTAAAGCAAACACAACCAAGTTCCTGAATCATAAACTACAAAATGCTGGAAAAACAACAATGGTTTACCACCTAAACCATTCCAACAATGGATACATTGCTTCTTCACTTCCTCAGAAACAATTTACTCATGAAAGACATGAACGATGTGGATATGTTCACATTGGTGATTCAAGAACTGAGCAAGAATTTCACTCTCATGGATACACTTGTGCATGAGCGTGATAAGTTAGCATTCTATTCTTCTCTGTATTTAGTTTATCACTTTAACTGAGACCTACATTTTATCGGTCCTTTTTGTTAAAATATTTTGTAATATACATAAAAAAAAAATCGACTTAGTATCCAGTTTTGGTCATGTATGTTGTTGAGAGTTGCAAGTGAGCAAAACAAACTAAAAATTGAAGTTACGAAAACTTGAAAATTCTGCAAATTATTCTCCATGAATTTAGTGGAGACCAAAACAACACAATATACACTCATCAATCTTGCTTTTTATCCCAAACCTAATCCAATTTCCAGTAGCAAAAAATCAAAGAAAATAGTGAAACCATAAACAAGACAGTAAACGAATCAACGGAGGAAAATATTTAATTAGGCACAAAAAACGTCACACGGCTTAACAATCTTTCAATTGATGACAATTCTAACAAAAAAAAGAAAGAAAGTATGAGACGATTTATGGTTTTTTCAATAAATAAATACAAACAATCACAATTCTTCATTTGTCAAAGGATTTTATGTTTGAAATTGTTCAATTGGCATCTCTCAAGATAAAGTCATGATCTCAACGAACACCTTTTGTTTTTAATAGATCATGACCATTCAAAAAATAACTGTTTTCGATAAAGAAGAAAGTACAAAAAAAAAACAACACGGGCAAATCAACAACAAAACATAAAACGGAGATTGACAACAAATAGACTTGACCAACAACAAAAACGTGTCTATTCTTTTCTTTTTTCATCTGAAAATTTTATTTAAAATACATGATCAAATACCGGATAGAATACAAGATAAGATACGTGGTAAAATACAGGGTTTAAACGATATAAAATATGGGTAGAATACGAGGTATATCAATCTAGTTTTAACCTGAAACTAGCTAAATACCAAAACCTACAAACAATCATCAACCGGGAGAACCATAACCAAGATCAAACCAACGAACCACAAATTCCTCCTATAATGAAAATTGTCTACCTATTCGAGCTTAAAAACCTAGGATTCTAACTCCGGCAAGACAGCAACACACACAAGTACCACGAATGAGCTTCCAGAGACAGCGAAGTCAAACATGACCGTTAAAACGCCTCGATTAGAACCCAAATGTAAGACCAGATCCCGAACTGATCTGATGAGTAGC